GCAGTGTTAAAAAACTCGTTCGTCATATTGGACCCTTGCATCAACCAAAACCATTGGATGCACCCACTTTGATCCATGTGAATGGTAGTGGAATATAATCACATAATGCCCATGCGGGATGCGTATAGAAAGGCGTTTATAAAGTCGTGCACAAACAAGCTTCAATAATTAAAATTATAATAGACACATTAATATGAAACTTAACCCTATAAAAAGCAGACATTGACAATTTTACATGGGCTTTGTATGCTTGCCCTATACCCACTAACATTACAACCCTCCAATGGCAGATAATACACAAGTGTATCCGAACCTCAATTTGACTGGTCGTTAGATTAAATCTTAAATAGAAAGGCATCATGCCAACAATCTGGTCTTAATGTGGTAAATCCTCCTCGCTAACTAGGACCGCTTTCAAACATTGTCAATTGATTTGTTGTATGGTAACCCAAACTTAAAGATGGTGTGATCCAGTATGATATTCCTTGGTGCGTTTCCATCTGTCATAAAATTTAAGTCTTCTTTGGTGGGACACAAAACAAAAACTTATAAGCAAATGAGAACCCCTCGCTATTAACCTCGCATATGCTAGACTCACAATCTTGATCCTGATTTAGAGAGCTCGTTGCTCCCATCATTGAGCCTCATGAAAGGAAAGTCAACAGGTTGGTTTTCCTTACGCTCAAAAATAAATAGAGGAACAAACAATTCAAGCATGGAAGCAAATGAAAGGCAAACTAAATTTCAGTCATATGTTGGACGCACTTTCCAGCAGATGCAACTCCTTATCAATAAGAATGGAACCATGGACAATGAAGTATCCCAACACTGGGAGCAAAGCGTCATTGGTGGGGCTTTAGGCTTGGTTTTGAGGACGCACCAGTTCTTGTCACCCGATTTGTGAATTTGATGGCAAAATTATGGTCACATCGAACAATATTTGAAAACTAAACCTCTGCTATTGGGACTTAGCCTTAAGGTTGGTCCTATCGATTCGGTAAAAAAATCCCCCATCGAATGTTTTTTCGAAAAAATTAAAATAAATAATATTGATTGAGAGGTGAAATTTCGCTTCATCAATCACCAACTCGACTTCCTCTTGTCAACACTTACCACGAGATTTTTCTTAGCAAATGGTCGTTATTGCTCCGCCATTCACCAAATTAGAGCAGTCACTATACGATCGAATGCTAGACGACGAGACCGGGACACCCAAACTTCCAATTACTTATTATTTTTTGGGGGCGTTGTGGAGGACGCACTAAGACCTCGTTGTTATAGGTGGGGAAAACAGTAAGTGTGGTGAGTACTCATGATAATCATCTTACCACCAAAAGTCGTTTGTCTGACAGTATAATTGTAGTGAGGTGACGGAGCGACCATTAAACTCACCACAACTCGCCTTTAGTGAGTGGTGGGCGAATACCTTCGTGTAGAGTACTTGAAATATAGGTTATGAGTAGTCGAGAACGACTGATGTTAGAGCGGGATAGGTTTGTGAAGTAGTTAAGATATGAAGGTTAGTATATTAAGTGGGGTAGATGGTAAAAAACGAGTTGCTCCTTGGATTTTTCCTCTTTTTCTTTTTTTACCCTCTCAATTTCACCTATATCACCTACTTATCATTACTCATAACCTATACAACGAACCCCTGCAAGCATAACCGCCTCTCTCAATGGTCAGAGAGAAGGACGCGCGACGAGTGATGGGGGGGTCAACCAATGCGAAGAGATAATATTTTACTAGCAGTTGCACCTCCCATCTAGTTCCACCACCCCCATCGAGTAACAGTAGTGTCTATAACCAACATTCTCCCATATGCCACACACAACTTGTGTATGACTCTTAGTTTTCGGGTTTTATTATGAGGTTGTCGAGTCTCAATTATTGTTTTTGTTTTTTTAATAAATAAATGTATGATTTTATTTCATAAATATCAAAGAGGTCGGGGCCCTCGTAATTCTAAGCAGAGATAATGGGGCTATTACCCAACTTCGGTTTGTGTTGGAAAGCAGGTCCAACGTCCCTTCAACTATCACTTCAACTGTCACAAAGCTCGCACAAGCCGTACTTACATTTTTCTAACAAAACAAATAGGTATGTTATTCTGCTATACTCTCCACATATTATCTTAATCCAACTAACCAAATGTACACAAGTTATTATCCTATGCATCAGTTTTGCTAAGTAGTACGAGTAAATTACTGGTATTATAATTGGTTGTTTATTTCAATGATTTTCCCAAACAAAAAAAACGTAAGGTTGAATAAATACTAATTATTTCCTCTATTCCAAACCGTCCACAACAATTTGCTTTCCTTGTCCAATGCATACCATTACACTATTTAAACAAGTTTTTTAAGCTTACATTTAAACGAGGTGAAAAGTACGGAAACTAACCGTTTTTCGTACCTGGTAGCACAATTGTTCATCGCAAAACGCCTACCAAAATATAGGAGCATCAAGTATTTCAAATGCCACAACATGTCAAGTTAGTTGACGACTGTGCTCTACTATCACGAAAAAAAACTTCAAAACCTTAAAAAACTATTACCTATAAATTTTGTTTTCATCGTTTCTTCGGTTTTCGACAAGTTGTTCCTCAACCAGTATACACACCCGCACACTATTTTAATAAACTCAAAGTTTTTTAGGCTAGTATTCAAACCGCACGAGTACAAGACACCTACCAACAGATGGGAGAGTCAAATAATTCTAAACTAGTCAATAAGGAAAACTTTCCCCTTAGACTGGAGCCAAAAAAAAAACTCAACCTTAAGAAATACACGTCCATAATTTATCATTCCTGTGTTTTCCCACTCAATAGAATAATACAATTCACCCCTCAGAATAAGCTGATAGCCTAAAATCTCATTTAATAAATTTCACGTTTCACATGAAACATGACACAATGTGTTCATCCTATCTCATGAACAAAACGCCAATAGGCATTCATCTAACCGACTCGTAGGTCATTTTTCCCTCCATTCAGTAATAAGGCTCTCTCTCTCTCTCTCTTTCTCTCTCTTTTTGATTCACTCATGCTCCACTAATTCGTTTTTCGCTGATTCATTTTCGTTGCTTTAGCCAGGTGGGCCAAAACCCTTTTATGCTGCCCTCCAAGGACTTTGCTTCTGTTTACCCGAAAAGATCCCATAGGAAGTACACTGATATTAACTTTATTTAGTTTGGCTTGTTCACTAGGTTTCCCGGTGTCAAAGTACACCACACCACCTCCCATTCCACACCCATCTCTATTGGGACTCCACTTACCATACCAAGTTCTTGCCACTGTTGCTCGACCTACTGTATGAGCTCGTGGCTTGATGCCATGCCTCCCCCGTGCTAAGCGTCATGGGATAAGGTGTGATTACTCTACACATAACAAAAATGAAACCCGAAAGCTTTTAAGATGAAACCAGAAAGCTTTAGCGCACGTGCATTATTGTACTTGAGTGCTATGGTGCCTCCTACTGCTTCGTTCTTTCCTCCTTTGTGATCCTCCCCGTGCTTTTTGAAACTCAGTTGTATTCTTTATAAAATACACCTTTTCACAACCTATCTACCACTACTCCTAAGGCTATACAAGGGATCCTTGCAAGCAAAGTTACCCTTCAATAAAGGGGTTGTGTGTTACCCCTTGCCTTAAGAGCAGTAAACTGGGCGTAGGGTGGGGCCGCCGGATGGGGCCTGACAAACATAAAGACCGAGCATTATGCTGCGGCTCCCTTTTCTTTTTCTTCACCTCCATCGTGTATCAGCGGCGTCTAAAGCCAACACTTTCCCACACACCAAACACTGCACACAACCCACTCACACCCACACACGTACTCACACGTACTCACACTCACACACGTACTCACACTCACACTCACACTCACACTGACACTCACACCTGTGTTGGCTAAAGACCCTACCAATACTGACTACGCGGAGCAGGCCAACTATCTAACTGTTTGGCACCAAGCGTGCCCCAGGCGGGTGAACCCATGACTTCCTGAATGCCACTTGCGTGCCTAACCTTTTTTTTTTGTCCTTCCTTCTTCCCTTTCGCCTCTCACTACCTACCTACCACTACTCGTAAGCCTGTACAGGGGACCCCTGCAAGCATAGCTACCTCTCACAATTAAGGAGATGCATGTTGCCTCCCGCCCTGATAGGCGGTGCTCAGGGAGTAGGGTGGGGCCGCCGGTGAGCCTTTTGCCAGTAGCTGTGCCTCCCATCTACCTCCCCCCCCGCATCCAGTAACAGCAGTGTCTATGGCCAGCACTCACACACCACACACACACACACACACCCGTGATGGCCAAAGGTGCTACCAATACCTACCAGGGAGAGCAAGCCAACTATCTCAGTTGGTTGGCACTAAGCCTGCCCGGGCGGTCATTGGGGATTGAACCCACGATCTCCTGAATGCCACTTGCGTGCCTGACCCGCTGAGCTAATCACAAGTGATTGTTTCAGGGGAAAAAAAGGAGTCCCTACGAATTGCCCTTCCTCTTGCCCGCCGAAGGTCTATGGTGAGCGCAGGTGGTGCGGTAATCCCGAGGATCTACCTCGAAAAAACCGATACACCGGCCGTACACGCCGAACCTGCCGCTCGAATTCGAAAATTAGCCCAACCTGACTGACGCAGCTCTAACGCCGAAGCGTCGAGTCGAGCCGGTTCGCCCGCCCGAGCCTTGGCTGCTACAGGCGTGAGTGGGTGTTCTCGATGTCCAAAGTCGCTGCGCGTTGGTCTTGGAGCTTCGAATGAAATGAATAGACCTATTGTGGTGTCCTTCGGGACATCCGTTAAAAAGTGAACGATACAGAGAAGAGTACACTGGCTACGCAAGGATGAGACGACAAATGGTCCAAACTTTCAGAATGAGAAAAAAGTCCTCTCTTGCATTGCGACACTGGCAAACGGGGAAGCATGAACACAGTCGATAGCGGGCAGGAGAGGAGAGTGCACTACGGATCAGACGCGGAAGAAAGAGTGCGCTAGGGATGCGAGAGGGAGAGGAGAGAGTGCACTACCTCTCTCTCTCTCTCTCTCTCTCTCTCTCTCTCTCTCTCTCTCTCTCGTTTGTCTATCTTTGTCCCAGCGAGCTGCCCGCCAAGTCTTTGCTATGGCGGCTTTCAACGAATCCACTTTCATGTTCGTGGGAATCTATGTGACCGTAGTCAGAGGTAAGTCGAGGTCTCTATCTCCCTCCCTCCCTCTCTCTCTCTCTCTCTCACTCACACACACACACACACACACACACACACACACACACACACACACACACACACACACACTCAGGGTTCGTGAGTCGGTGAAAGTCTAACGAAAAAACAGTCTGGAATATTCATGCTTTTCTTGTCGAGTTTTGCACAGCGAACATGACAACACACACATACACTCTTTCTCTCGTGTACTCTCTCTCTCTCTCTCGTGTATCTTACTCTCTCCTAAGGTAGTGGAACGAGAACAGAAATATCGTGTGGATCAAGGACACCTGCCTTATATTCTAACAGATGTGCGGCCCCTTTTTCTTTTCAGACAAAAAAAAAATCACTGCGCGCCATGTGGCGCGCGAGAGAATGTACAATAGGGAAGAAGAGGAATAAGAGTTGGAGAGTGTGAAGGATAGGGAGGAGGGTGAGGACGACGAGTAGGACGACCTGGAGGAGGATGCGAAGGACGAGGAGATGGAGCAGAGGGAGTACTCTATCTCTCCCTCTCCCCCCCTCTCTCTCTCTCTCTCCATGTGCTGTTTTCTTTAGTAATAAAATAAATTGGCGCGCACCATCTGGCACATGCGAGACAGTATGGAGTGGAGGAGGTGATAAAGGAAGACGAAGGGAGGAGGGTGACGAGCAGGAGGAGGTGGAGGGTCAGGACGAGCACGAGGAGGGGAAGGTTTCTTTCTCTCTCTCTCTCTCTTTGTGTTTGTGTTTGTCTATCCATGATTGCAACTGGATTATGGCGGGCGTGCACCCGCGCGTGCGCAAGAAGGGGGGGAAGAGGGGGGGGGGGGGGGGGGGGGGGGGGGGGGGGGGGGGGAGGGGGGGGAGGGGAGAGAGAGAGAGAGAGAGAGAGAGAGAGAGAGAGAGAGAGAGAGAGGTTCGTTCTCCTTTTGTTGATGTTTTGAGCGGAGTGCTAACTGATCGGATAGCATCATCGGGCAAGGAGGATAAGGAATGGGCGACACTATGAGGAGAAATCTACATAAGAGAATCGGGGAAGACCAAGATGGGGTTGGGAGCCAACGTGGAGATGGTCGAATGGGATGGGGATGGGGCTGGGAAGGATCGGAATGTGAAGGTGGGGGATGGGGACAGGAGAATAGGGGATGGAACTGTGGGAGCGCGATGTAGACCATCGGGGGGGGG